AGGGGGTTACTCAAACAGGGGGTTACTCAAACATGGGGCTACTCAAACAGGGGGTTACTCAAACAGGGGGCTACTGAAGCAGGGGGTTACTCAAACAGGGGGCTACACAAGCAGGGGGTTATTCAAGCAGGGGGTTACTCTAACAGGGGGCTACTCAAACAGGGGGCTACTCAAATTACTTTGAATGAAAGAACAAAGTATTGATTTGAATTATGTGCAAATCACACTATTCAAAATAAAAGACCTATTATTAAATGCAACATAACCAAATCAATTCTGAACACAAGAATAACTTTATTTTGATATTATTTTCTAAAACTATGTCTAAGAAAGTATGTGCTTGGCCTAATATTTATGTAGACTACACTGGCCGCAATACATAAGGCAGCTACTAACGTAGATGACTGATCACTGCAAAGTAATCAGTGCTGTTAAACCCAGAAAGAGCCAAGTAGATGGCTGACAAGCTGAGACATCAGCTCCTTCTGGGGCAGATCTGTGACTGGGACCCGAAGTCCTCTGGAGTTGTGTTTATGCTCAAAGTCAGCCTGCTGCTTTGGCAGAGATGTGACACACAACACAGCGCAAGAAGCAGTGTGACTGGGCATACTCTTCTGGAGGATCCTGAAATCGGGGGAGTCGTCCACCGTGGTCCCTTCTCTGTACCACTCCACATGGGGGGAGGGAACCCCCTTCACACGGCATTCCAGCACCACCAGCTGGCCCTCGAAGGCAACGATGTCCTGCAGGTTCTGCAGCGGACGCAGGCCACAGAAGCGCCTGTGTCACCTCATGCTTTTACACGTGTTCAGGCTCCTTCTAAATAGTTTGCACCGGTGCAGCTTTTTCTCCCGACTGCTGTGCATTTCCGCCACGACTGTCATGGGTGAAGCGCCGGAGACTCAACGAAACATAGAGAGCTAATGGAACGCAAGCTGATAGTGCCATCTGGTGGCTGACTGCGGTTTTACAAATTCAGAATTCATTCAGAATCATTCATTCATTTGTTCACTTTTGATGCATGGTCATTTTGGACAATATATTATATGCAACTTTGATTATGATACTACATATTTCTTACACATATTTCATATGTCATTGTGAATTATACTAAATTTTAGTGATATCATATTTGCTATACATCAGTACACCTCTGGGTGGTGAGAGAGAGGCTCTCTAGGTTGAGAACCACATGTTCTATTTCTTTGGAACGGCAGTGTATTACCTTCGTAAAGACAGGAGCGCTCATTAGAACCATTCCGTCCAGACTTTGTGGGTAGCTAACGGCGTTTTCATTCTGGATGAAGATGACAGAGTAGGTGCACGCAACACAACTGCATTAGCTGTAATCTCACAAAACTATTTGTTTATCAATTGAATTTTATCATAAAATAATACATCAGATATTATCGGCCTGTAGAGGGCACTACTACCTCCTGTAAAGGAGTCGGGGGGTTCACCATCTGTGCTGGTGGGGAGCTGGAGACGTCCTGCACAGGCGACTGCACAGTGAAGGGGGGGGTGGGTGGTGTGACGGAGGGGGGGTCTTCCTCAGGAGCTGGGGGGGCCCTGGAGGGCGGGGGTGCTGCTGGTACGGACTGCGATGGCTTTCTCTGTGGCCTGCATTTGTACACAAAGCCCAGTATGAACACCCAAGGGTTTCTCAGTGGGGGAGTACCAGTGCCCCCTGGTGGCGAGAACTCACTGTGCGGCGTGCTCAGGGCGGTGATCCCCGTCTGAGTCAGAAGACGATGCCCCTGAGGAACACACATGATAAAATTTACCCCTCGGCTGCGCCCTCCCCCCCACCCCACCCTGCTCTGCTCCATTCCTCTCATGTTCCTGCGCGACTCTGGAGCTCAGAGACGCCGCACCTCCCATTGAGCATTACCTTCTATGTAGATCTCTGCCGACGTGGAGTCGGTGCCGTAGATGTTGGAGGCGAAGCAGGAGTAGCGGCCCGTGTCCTCCTCAAAGGCCTCTGTGATGATGAGGGAGTGCAGCTCGCCGTCAATTGAGATCTGGATGTCTGGGCTGCTCTCAAGTTCCTTGCCCTCGCAGAACCACCTGCAGTTGAAGGTCACGCGTTACAGGCCAATGCCGGAGCCATCTTTAGCCAATGATGTGTTGTGAATCAGTGAGTGACAGGAGAGGGGCCAGTCTGCTTTCAGCTTGGGTCAGAGTCCCTGTCACCCTTCGCCACGGACACAGCCCTGAAAGCGAGCCGGCGTCTACACTAGCATTTGGACAAACTTCTACCAGAGCAGCGCTCCCAGTGTCCGCTCTCTGTACATAACCTGCATGGCTGTACATATGCTTATTACTGTAAATATTTTTATTGTTTGTTTGTTGGATGTATGATCAATTGAACAAAGAGCAGATGCCATTAACTAGCTTGCATGGTGGCCCCTGAGAAGCCACGTGGGGCGCACTGCATGTACTGCACATGGACCCTTACATGGTGAGATGTGGGGCGCACTGCATGTACTGCACATGGACCCTTACATGGTGAGATGTGGGGGGCACTGCACGAACCGCACATGGATCCTTACATGGTGAGATGTGGGGCGCACTGCACATTGATCCTTACATGGTGAGATGTGGGGCGCACTGCACATTGATCCTTACATGGTGAGATGTGGGGCGCACTGCACATTGATCCTTACATGGTGAGATGTGGGGCGCACTGCACATTGATCCTTACATGGTG